ATATATATATATATATATATATATATATATAATGTCTCCTATGGTCACTGTGCTATTGCTTTTCACTACTCATATTTGAATGTATTATATTATCTTTTGCCAATCATGAGTAAGAGTTTCATGGGGTAGAATAGTGAAGGACAGGTAATCTTTCCAGTTTAGAAACTCAATGACTTTCTTCAGTTAATATTTATAAAGTGTATTGTTTTTCTGGCATTTCTGAGGTTTCCCAATAGATTCTCAGGCACTTTCCATGCCTACTATCTTCACTCACCTGCCCCTACTCACTAAACTTTCCACTTAGGGTGAATGCTCTCCTGAGCTGGTGGTTCTTGAGATCTGCCACTACTAGGACCCCTGTTTACTTCCCATTATTTTCATTTCTTATGTGGGATTTCCTGCCCAGTTATTCAGGTTTTAGTTATTTTGATAATTCTTTCCCATAATTTGCAATATATGGTTGTCTCTCCCCCTTTTTCTTTCTGCCTCCTATTTACACAGAAAATGTAGTTTTATGGGCAATTATTGTTGTTGTTGCTGTCTTTGTTGTATTGCATGGCTCCCCAAGATGGAAAGCAAGAAGATTCAGAACTATCACCATATTTCTATTGGAATCACCAAAAACAAAACTTTTAAGTTAATCTCTGGGCTAAGTTAGAAAAACTACATTTTTAAGAAATTTTAAAATAAAGAAATGCTATTTATAGCTATATTTTATTAAAAGAACTATTTTCTCTAAGTTTTCAGTATTCAATAAGTTTCAGGAGCCCTTAGATCACTGTTGTTGTTGTTATTAAGTGCCATTGAGTCATCTCCAACTCATAGTGACCCTATGTACAACAGAACAAAACAGTGCCTGGTCCTGTGCCAGCCTCACAATTCTTGCTATACCTGAGCCCATCACTGTAGCCATTGTGTCAATCCATCTTGTTGCAGGCCTTCCCATTTTTTGTTGACCCTCCACTTTACCAGGCATGATATCTTTCTCCAGTGAATGGTAACTTCTGACAACATGACCCAAGTAGGTAAGACGAAGTCTGGCAGTTCTCACTTCCAAGGAGCATTCTGGCTGCACTTCTTGCAGGAAGATTTGTTAGTTCTTTTAGCAGTCCATGGTACTCTTAGCATTCTTCTCCAACACCACAACTCAAAAGCATTAACTCTTCTTTGGTCTTCCTTACTCATTGTCCAGCTCTCACATTTCATAAGAAGTGATTGAAAATACCATGGTTTGGATTAGGTGCACCTTAGTCTTCAAGGAGACATCTTTGCTCTTCATCACTTGAAAGAGGTCTTTTGCAGTAGATTTGTCCAATGCAATATGTCATCTGATGTCTTGATTGCTGCCTTCATGGGTGTTGATTATAGAACCAAGTAATATGAATTCTTTGACAACTTCAATCTTTTCTCCATTTATTGTGATGCTGCTTATTGGTCCAGCTGTGAGGATTTTTGTTTTCTTTATATTGAGGTATAATTCATACTGCAGACTGTAGTCTTCAATCTTTATCCATAAGTGCCTCACGTTGTCCTCACTGTCAGAAAGTAAAGTTGTGTTGTCTGTGTATTACAGTTGTTAATGAGCCTTCCTCCAATGCTGATGCCATGTTCTTTTTCATATAGTCCAGCTTCTCAGTTTATTTGCTCAGCATACAGATTGAATAAGTGAAAGGCTACAACACTGACACACTTCCTTCCTGATTTTAAACCATGCAGTAACCCCTTGTTCTGTTCAAACAACAGCCTCCAGGTCTATGTACAGGTTCCTCATGAGTACAATTAAGTGTTCTGAAATTTCCAGTCTTCTCAATGTTACCCATAGTTTTTTTTTATGATCCACACAATTGAATGCTTTTGCATAGTCAATAAAACACAAGTAAACATCATTCTGGTATTCTTTGCTTTCAGCCAAGATCCATCTGACATTAGCAGTGATATCCCTCATTCCATGTCCTCTTCTGAATCCAGCTTGCATTTCTGGAAG